TAGGATGTCCTAGGCAGGATATCCTGATAAAACAGCCACTTCACTTTGGATAAACCTTTAACCTCTGGAGAGGAATGGGGTGCAAATACATGAGCACTCTTTTTTCCCCCCAAGGATCAGCATCAGTTGCTGAAAAAAATGCACAAGAAAAATACCTGGAATGATAAACAGCTCTTGCATCCTCCAAATCACTTTGCTCTTAGCTGAGACAAGGAGCATGGAACTTCACAGGTACTTATTTGCAGGAGGTTACTTTTACATGATGGATAAGCAAGTGGTAATACAGAAACACATAGACGTCTACAAAGTTTGGTATATAAATTTTAAAATGGTCTCGTCCTTGCAATGACATTCACCAACAGATTTAGGTAGCTGCATCTGCACTGACCACAGGACACTCCAGCTCAAGGATCCTCTTCTTCATTCTCCACACACTGTCATGAAGCACCACTTAATGGCACGGGAGAACACTCGGGTCCCTGTGCTCAGCATCGCTGCTGGCACGGAGAAACCCTGGTGATGGGCTCCGCTGCTGTGGGGAGAGATGCACACCTGATCCCAGACCCTGCGCTGGTGACTTATCCTACAATTTAACGTTATCATAGCTTCCTTCTTTCATTTCTCTCCTACAGTTATGTTTCTGTTAATCTTGCAGTGTCATGGGACTGAAATTTATTTACAGAAATATCTATTTACAGAAAAATAGATGAGTAAAGCAAGAACAGTTCTATTTATACATCACCTACAGGAAGAAAGGGAAAGATGCCAATAGCCATATTATTGTTGCAAGCCCTGGGCTGTAAGATGGGACACTGTATCAAATAAAACTGTTCAACTGGAAATGAAGCAGCTCATAAGAAGTTACACTTCAATATATGCCAGTCTTCAGCAATTCAGAATGAAGAAGGTCATGCTTAGTAGGCAGTAAAAGAACAAAAACGTATATATATATCCATATATACATGGGAAGGGAATTAAAGGGAGCAAAAAGATTAAAAAGAATTGAGAGTGATGCACATTATGGTTGGTTTTGTTTTTTTTTTTAATAATAGTGTTTTGGGAAAATCTCCACCTTAAACTATCATATTATTTCAGAATTAAAGTCTAAGCCCTTAGCTTTAAGCCTATAGCCTCGACAGTCTGAGGCTAACCAAACTTCCGAGAAAATGAAGGAAAATCACCACGTTCCAGTAACTTACATGGGCACGAGTTTCAGTTTTCCTTTAGCGAGCACTTATGGGAAGATTTTTGCCTCTGTACCTCACAGTTTTTAGCAAGCAAATGGCAATGACCGTGGATAAAAGCAGAAGCAGCTCAACCAAAGGACACTGTCACCTAACACAACTTGTGAGCAAAAAAGAAGGGAAGAAATCCATGTCCGAATTCTTTATCGCACAGTGGTTGGATCCGAAGACGTCATCGCCTTCCCAGTTGTTTTAACGTCATTAGCTGTACATGGTTTGTGTGGCAAAGAGAAACAAAATACAGGATTTCCTGCTCTGCAGCCACTGTACTGAGCTGCAGATGCCGGCAGGAATCCAGTGCTCCGAAAACATGTGGAAGTTTAACGAGGAGTCGCTGGAGCTGGGGCTGCTGTGAAAACCGGTAGAGAATAAAAGCAGAAAGCTCACTCCTCCTGCTCTCTAGCATGGATGTCACCCCCCTGAAGGATGGGAGTCACAGGAAGGTAAGCTCAACTTCTGCTGCGTGTTTTCTTCAGTAGATCAAAGCTGTCACAGTTTTGAGCATTATCACTTCTTTGATTTTAGCTCTTCAAGAGATCTTACCAGGCAGAAGCAACATCCTCAGCAGCTTCTGGCCACGTATTTCTGTCTCGCTGGGCTCCGAGGGGTGGGTGAGCAGAGCTTGGTGCAGCCAAGCAGGGGAAACCCTGTTTTATCCAAAATACTTCAATTTCAATACTTCAACCTATCAGCTCTGTTTATGTGCTTCCTATTAGTACCTGAATTAAGCAAACAAAATTACTGCTTAAACTCCAAGTGCCAGAAAGCCTCTACTACTTTCAAATCCGGAGCTTATTTCAAGCCAAAGGATGATTTTTTTTAATCTTATTTTTTTTCCTAAACTGCTTTTCCTTTTCAGTTCTGCCCAAGCCCCCCCAGCTCCAGGGTCCCCAAAACCAGGGGTTCTCCCTGGCCACACCTGGCACACAGCTTTAGCCCAATTTGTCCAGCCAAGCCATGGAAAAGATGAGAGTGAGTTTGCCAGTGGATTTGGGAGCAGTAAATGCAACACTGCAGCAACGTGGGGCTGGGTGGGGTGCAGAGTGATTCAGAGTAGCCAGGCGATTTCCCATCATGACAGCCACAGACGCCTCCAGGAACAGATAGTGCTAACGTACTCAGAAAAAAGAATCGCGAGTGTTTTAATAGCTGCCTTAACCTCCTAATTAATTACCAAGTTACTGGATGTTTAATGAATTGCAGTGCTACCTCCATAACCAGTGGTTGTACTCCGCTGGCAGCAATACTGGTCATCCCTC